AGGGTGTGTTCCCAGCCTGCCAGGTCCTTCAGAAAAGCTACGGCCTCACGCTCGAAACAGCAAGGGTGAAACGCTGCCCGCGAGCCCTCCGCTCGCTGCCGAGGCTGGGCTTTCACCCCAAGCCCGCCGCTCGGGAAGGCGCGCTCGGCCCCAGGCAGAGAACGGGGAGCAACCTAAACCCTTCGTCCCCTGAACGGGCCGGACAAGGAAACGATGGAAGATGCAGGCGTTCATCAGCGCAACGAGCGCTCCAGCAAAGCACGGCCTCAGAAGAAGCGTTTCCTCCGTTTCCACCCGAATTCAACCCAAAAACCAGACTTTCAGGCTCTTCTGCTCTCTCCCATTTCCCCAGCAAGCGACCTCTGCGGCTAGCAAAACACTGAGGAAAGGAGACACACAAGGAAGGGCAGAGGGGGAAACAAAAAGGCTGGCAAGGGCTCTGCCACCACCACCGCTCTCCAGCCTGTTCTGAATTACTCTTCCCGCGAAAACCGTGGCAATCCCAGCCCAAACTCGACCACACGCTGCCAAGGACTGCGGGGAAAGATGGGACCCTTCAGCAGCAGGGAAGCTCAGACGCCTGCAGAGATGTGTCCGCTGGGGGAGGTTTCGTACTCGAGCTACTTTACCCTTTGGAAAATCGGTAGCTCGGACCCACTTTGAATTTATGGTACGGAAGACGGTGTCTTCCCACCCCGGTACAGGACTCGCTCGCAACAAAAGGCCAGACTTCCACGCACACGTGCCCACAGCGAGTGGGAAACACAGAAGGTGCCACGGGTTTGGCCCCTCTGAAGAAATCAGGCCACTTCTTCACGCGGCTGAACGTAGGAAAGATTTCATTTGAGTTCTCTTCCCCAAGCAGTCCACTGCTGTCGTTTATAACCCCAGCCTCGGTCTATGCGCAGCACCATCTCTTTGCGTACGCAGTCTCCCTCTGCAACGCCCCAGAACACTTCATCCGACCCGAGATGAGCTGCCAAGAGAGATCCTGCGTCTCCCACGCGTGCTACCCCGAGACCTGAAAGCCATAATCCCTTTCTGAGGTTCACAGATAACTTCCAGCAAAGTCAACAGCCGTTACAGGGCACGCGCACAGCAAAGGGAAACCCAGCTACCTACAGCCAGCTCTGCCCGGCTCGGGTTAGTTCGGGTCCACCAACGCAACGTTAACAGTGTTACTTCAAGCATCCTGGTCGCGACCGTCCCCACCTGGGAAAGTAGAGGTCCCTTACGGCAATTTTTGCCAGCAGGGAAAACTATGGGAGAGAGAAACTAACTGCCGTGGGGGACGTATCGCAACAGCAGGAGTCCTTCTGACCTCTTCCCCAGCCTGCAGTCTCCACGCGTGCTTGGCCGCACGATGGGAAGTTGCTGCTGGAGGCCACGGCACTTACGTGTTGGCCACAGAGCAATAAACGCGCTGTAGAAAAGAAGCCTTTTTTTCCCCCTCTTCCCCCTGGTCCTACTAAGGCTATAAATAAAGACACCCAACATCTGCAAGACAATACATCAACATTAATAATGATAACTGGTGATTTCAGCCCATTTCTTCTGTCTACAGTTTTTGCAGCAAGAGATGCTGGTCTAAATGGGACTTACACCAGTACAGTCCCCCACCGCTTGGATTTTAGAAATAGCGCATCAAGTGCATCGCCTAAATATGCTTATCGCAGAGTGACTCTACCTCTTTGCCGAGAGACAGTTAAAGCTGCACAAACCCACACGCAAAAGGCAATCTGCATTACAAGCTACCTCCTCAAGCGCAGGTTTATGAGTTGTGGCAAGGTGCTCGATGCAAGGAGAGAGCTGATAACAAGGACGAGCCGCACCTGAGAAGGTGCGAAAGGGGCTGAGATCAGAGCACCTGGAGCTAAAGCCAAGAAAAGCCTGAGGGAAAAAAAGAAAAGAAGAGAGAAAATCTACTCAAGATGGATACAACACCCAAAATCTAACGGTGGAGTGGATTCTGCTTTGGCAGAATCTGCCCTTTCTAGCAGGATCTACCAGGCTTTGGGCAAGGGCTGCCAGGTGCCTCCCAGCCGGGGCAGGAGAAGCTGAGACAGCATCAGGCTCCGATGCCGCGGCAGCTTCCCCAGGATGCTCCAGCGGGAAGGCACACAAGTTTTCCTCCCGGTTTGACGAGGAAACGCGGGAGAGATGGCACAGATTCATCTGCCAGCGGTTTAACAAATTTGGAGAGAAAGCGGCCTTTCGCTCGGCGTGTCAGTAGAAGTTATTTTTGCAGTGGAACCTGCGCACTTAGAAAACGCACGTTTGTTCTAGAGGCAGCGCTAGTAATTGCTCGCTACGCTTATGGGAAATATCTGTAAAACTTTCAAGTGTGGCCAAATTTCCCAGCCCCAGCAAAGGCCGCGGCATGGAGGACTCGCTGCAATTTCACAGCCTCGCTCGGTTCAGAAAAAGGCGCTTTAAAAATTGTGGGTTTCTTGGTAAAGCTGTTGGCAAAAACAGACTACTATGTGTAGGTGAAATATATATTTCCATCTGTATTGCTCTGTCATTTCTGTACGTACAGTAACACTATGCAACATATGCAACACCACAATGTATAGTAACACCATGCAATATATAAAAAGAAAGGAATGCCAATCTGTTTACACCAGCAGCCAAAAATAGTTAAGGATCTCCCAAAATAAAACAACAAAAAAAGAAGTGAGGGAAGAAAAAAAAAAGGGAAAAAATGAAAAGTTTGCTCCACCTAAAGAGCAGCGTGAACAATACCGGGAGGAAACAGCTAACGCTATCGTGCGTAACGCGGATTAAATTGGCCCAAAGGAAATTAGAAGGGCAACGATACAAAGCTGTAACAAAATAATCGGAAATTCTTCAAACTGTATCAAAAGTAGGAAACCCACGGGCATATCAGATGCCAGGGATACAAAGAGGTGACGGAGCAGTTTACTGCTGTGGCAGTAAGTTACCATTGCTGACTGTTGCTCCTGACCCTAAACAAATCAGGAGACTCGGAGCCACTACTAAAAACGCAGAGGTCCTCCACAGAAAAGGCCTTACCGATGCTAGGAGAAGCAAGACAGACAGCAACGTAGCCCTTGTCTTTAAAAAAAAGGTGCCAACAGGGATTTGGGGAGATGCAAAAGCTCACTGAACCTCACTTCAGAAGTGGGAAACACGCAGAAAGGTTCCTTCAAGAGCGGCAAGGTCTAACGGGTAGGATGCAGGGTGCACGGCCTCTGCTCCCCGCCGGTGCCCTTCACGGATGGAGGCTAGGAGAAAGCAGGCACGCGTAACCCTCTTAGATGTTGGGCATTTTACCCACCGTTCGGCTGCGGGAAGGTCTCAGCCACGTGCCACCTCGAGGCAGGAGGCGGCTCTGGCATGGGCCAGGCAATTTTTTTAACCCCTTGGAGTAAACGAGGACATCTAGTTGGATATATATTCCCCAGAGCGCTCTGGGATGGACGTCCCCGCATCGGTCTGATACCGGCTTGGTAAGACTCTTTGCACTTTCCATGCAAGAGTGGCACCTGTGACTGAAGCAACTAGGGCGAACACATCAAAATCTCCCGTTAAATTTCTCCCAGTGGGCCATAACATAGGAAACGTGTTTCTGGCCACAGGCCTGAGGGTTTAATCGAGAGCTGGAAGGAGCCCCTGGCCAGATGGGCATCAAAAAGCCAGCAACCAGCATCTCCCGGCTCCCCTGGGCCACCAGCCCATCGCCGGAGGGGTTTCTTTAGAGGACAACCACCCAAAGGGTGGCGAGCACAAAGCACCGTGGGGCGGGCGGCCTCGCGCTTACCAGTCCGTCACAGTTGCTGATGGCCACGGCG